GGCCCGAAACGTCAGCCTTCCTGCTGCTATGATGCTGCTTGGCCTGCTGTGTTCATCCAGCTCTACACCTTGTTATCTCAGATTTTCCAGCGTCTGCAGTTCCTACTATCTCCTCTAATTGGCTAGCAGCTCTTGGAGGTAGATCTCCATCTCCAAAGACCTGGGAACCCTGAAGGCAGGTAGGATTGTGCCTGATTGGGATTTAATCCTACTGGGGCTCCAAGAATGGTTGCCACTAACTGTTCAGCCGTTGCTTGGTGTTGCTGTGGTGTTATTAAATTCTATCAAATGTAACTGAGGGCTACAGGAAGGAATTACACACATTCCTTGATCTCAATGATATTATTGGGGAAATCAAAAAAAAGCAAATATTTAGTACTTTTCTCATTTTGCATGTGTACACTCTGCAATGTTGTCTTCTCACGCAATCATTTGAGAACAAGGATGAAGGGGAATTCCTTTGTGAAACCAGTAGAGTAGTTAATTACATGTGACCTTTATTAGAGGTTCCATATGAATTATTCTGTATTTGTTTGCAACAGTGTGAAAAGAAAAAACTTTGAAGGAGTCTTACCAGGCTTTGCTCGATCTTCCAATATTTTGGTTGCAGGAGATTCTGGAGCAAATTCTGCTTTACATTTGTTCATAGAGTTACTTTTCTGACAAAAGCCTTTCTTTATGTTAAAAAGAAGTCTTTCAACAATATTGTTCCTCTCTTGTTTTGCTGATGATTTGCGAATTGGAAAGCAAAGAAAGTATAAATTATTATATATGCTTAGAAAGTTAAATTGCCATGTTTAATTTTAGACTTTATATCATCTTGCCTTAGGGTTCCAGTATAAACGTTGTAAAAAGCAAGAATAAGCCAATAAATGCCATCCAAATGTTAACAATATTTTCCTGATTAAAAATTATTACGATGTTCTGTGTTGTTCAACAACCAGGGGTTGAACTCCGTGAAAGTATTATTGCCATGAAATATAACATTGATAAGATTTCCTGTTCAAAGAACAGATGTGTCTAGAAAACTGAATATAGCAAGTGAGACATTTGGTTGGACCACAGAATATCCTCTGCACTTTTGGCTGTGGAACATGTGGTATACTATTCAAGTGCTCCAATAACTGTCCAGCTGTCTATAATAGTGAGTGTTGAGGGAGGTCCTCCAATATCTGTGGTGGTGGTAGCTAAGGTCTCCTGGAGACCAAGCTAAATGGAGGAGTCATCAAAGACTATTGAATTTTTAACATTATTCCTTTGTTTTTCTAGTTTATGTTAAGAAGGACTTTAATGTTAGCTATTCCCCTATGTCTTTTTGAACCTAGGTACCGTTGTACCTAAGATAGCACTGTGTGTGGCAACATTATACACTTTTCACTGTATTCCTGTACTTCTTTACTTGAGTACATGTGGCAATAAAATCTAAATTGAAAACAAAGTCTAAAATCTATACTGGTCTAGTGTCTTTCTCTGTAACAGTGTACAAAATGCACCCTGTATAATAGTTATGTGCTATTTTTGCATAACTTTGTTTGACAATGGGGATGATGTGGCCATTTAACAAGGATAATGACCATCACCATGCTGAAGGGGAGAACATTGATCATTTAGAGGATGGTAAGAAGGCGGGAGATTTGCAACATTTATCTATAGTCACAGGTCTTTAGCAAAAACTTATTGAGAACTACTTCATCTGGATAGTCTTTGCACTTCTGTCTTAACCCTAATGTACAGTATCTATCTCATTCCTCCTACCCTGAAATAAACTGCATCTGCTCAAAAGCCAGTGCTGATATCCATGTCAGCCGATATTACAGATTGTTACAGAAACAGGAACACTTTCTTGCATCAAAAATTTAGAAGTTACAGATCTGGATTATGCTTTTTCTTTCCTTATTTTGGCATTCTTACAAAGAGGTAATAAAAGCTATTAAAAGTTCCTAATCATTCAGAAACAATGGTTTGTATTTTATTTCGAGCCAGTTAAGACATTCTTTTTCAGAATAAAACATAACCCTCTATCTACTACACATATTTGACAATACAAAGCTAATTCTACTGACTCCAAACTTACTGTTGTGTTCATTTGGTTCATTTGCAACTTGCATAGCAAGTTGTTTCTCTCTTTTCTTCATTTTTGTGGTCTTTTGTTTTTGTTCATTGTTATCCTATGTTTGGAATCATAAAGAATTACATGAGTGTGGCAAGGGAGTGGTTCTAAGGCAATTAAGCCAAATAATGACTTGTGTTAAAAATTATGTTTACTTATTACCTTTATCGCTTGCAAGAACAGTTCTCTGAATTTTTTGATTGTGACGAACAATTCATCCAGTGAAAACTTGTTTTCATTTTCACAGAAATATTGAGCCAACTCCTTTCTTTTGCACTCTATAGCTTTCAGAAGATCCTTGAGCTCCTCAGATACAGTGAGGCCTTGCTGCCAATTAGTTTTTGTTAATAGTGGAATACTATAAATGTGATTTTGAGAAAATCAACTTACCATTGGATATTTGCTTACCTGAATTGGATTTCTGAATTGTAATTTTATATCATCTATGGATGACTCAATGTCATCACTGATCTTGTTTAAGTGCTGTGAAAGGCTGTTTACTTCAGATTGGATTGAGTCAATTTTGATACTGCAGATAAATCAGTCAGATATTTTAAAGAGTTCTCAGTGCTGAGCAAACCATGTCTTTTGCACACTTAGGAACGAACAAAAAAAGACACAAATCTGCACGTTTCTTGTTACAAAATTACAAAATACAAGTGTAATCTTGCATTATTTTAATGTGACACAGAAATACTGCTGTAATATTTCAAGATCTGTGTCAAATTTGAAATTTTGTTAAATTGCAGGAGGTTACAGCACTTTGTCCCATGAGGTAATAGGGCCTGGATTTACAGCGTGATTTTCTATTGGTAATTTATTGGTATTTAGATTTTAGCCGCACTTGATGGAAACCGAATGTTTCCTCAAAAGGAGGGATGGAAAAATATCCTCAGCTGCATTTATACATATCCTAGTGGCTGGTTGTTGTGGTACCTTCATGCTGTACCTTTGGAAAATGGTGTGAAGATTTGGAAGAATTTACAGACTCATTAACAGACTGACAGGCTGTAACATGAACACTATTTAGAGTCATACAGCATGGAAACAGACCCTTTGGTTCAACTCGTCCATGCTGACCAGACATCCCAATCTGACCTAGTCCCATCTGCCAACATTTGGCCAATATCCCTCTAAACCCTTCTTATTTATATATCCATTTAGATGCCTTTTACATGTTGTAATTGTAATTGCTTTGGCTCTTTCCTCTGGTAATTTGTCCCATGCACACACCATCCTTTGCTGAAAAAACTACCCCTGATGAAGGGTCTAGGCCCGAAACGTCAGCCTTCCTGCTCCTATGATGCTGCTTGGCCTGCTGTGTTCATCCAGCTCTACACCTTGTTATCTCAAAAAAAATCCCGGCCTTTCAGCCTCTCCTATAACTCAAACCCTCTAGTCCCGGCAACACCCTTGTAAATTTTTTCTGTGCTCTCTCAAGTTTATCAACATCCTTCTTACAGAAGGGCAACCAGATTGTACACAGTATTCTAAACATGGCCTCACCAATGTCCTGTACAGCTGCAACATGATATCACAACTCCTATACTCGATATTCTGACCAATGAAGGCAAGCATGCTAAACGCCTTCTTCACCTGTCTACCTGTGACTGCACTTACAAGGAACTATGCAACTACACCATTAGGTCTCTTTGTTCAGCAGCACTGGCCATGGCTCTATCATTAACTGTATAAGTCCTGCCCTGGTTTGTCTTACCAAAAGGCAACAACTCACATTTATCTGAACTAAAGTCCACCTGCCACCTCACCCATTGGCCCATCTGATCAAGGTTGTGTTGTATTCCGAGATTATCTCCTATGTCTAGAATCAATTTAATACACCTGAGTAGATGTTTAGACCTAGGCCGTGGGAGAGGAGTGGCTGTTAATGTGGAGTGACATTGCCAAACAAATTAATAACAAGTCAGCTGTCTGGAAAAGAATGTATGATCATTGAGAAACAGTTGGGAGGAGGGTGGAATTTAGAAAATACCACATTATCTGTTGACTGAATATCTTAAATCTGAGTTTTAGGATTACTGTGGTTGTATCTGTAATGCTCACTTCTACCACATAGTTTAAACAAACGTAAGTGCATTTTAATGTGATTATTGGTTGTGTGCAAAATGTAACATGGGCTTAAAGTCATTTCAAGATGATAACTTGAAATTGCTACCTCGCTGCTTCTGATATTGATTGGAGGTCATCAGGAAGATTTAGAAGATCTGGATAGGATTTTTCAATTTCCTGTTATGAAGAATCAAGTGAGAAATGTGGTGCAATGCTGAGAATTGCAAAACATTCGTCATATCTGATTCATAATCTGAAATGCTATTGTACCTGCACAGCGTAATGTAGCAGTGTGATTTGTGGCTCATTTGCTCTCGTCTCTTTGAGTTTAACCAAACTATTTATTTTGAATCCATTTGCACTTCCTATGGCACTACCCTGAAATGAGAAAAAAATATAGTGAATTATCTGACAATGTATTCTGCTTTTTACAACTTTCTAGTAATAATCATATAAAAGCATCCCACTTTTTGTCTCCTATAATTGAAAATTACTTTACTGGCTGTGAAGCACTTTGGGATTTCCTGAGGTCGTGAAAAGTGCTATCTAAATGCATGTCTTTTTTTGTCCCTGTTTTAACTTGCATGATTCACTAAACCTGCTATATTTTAGGAGGAAATATCTTTGTTACATTTTTATACAGTTTTGGGTAATGTATATTATTGCAACAATGAGACACAAGTTCAGCGATCGGCACAATTGTAGCCCCTCCAGGGTAGCACACCGACTGTTCAGCTCATTTGAATAGCTGCAAATGCAACTTAATCCGAAAATAATGGCATGTTAAATATAAATATTTAATTCAATAGGTACTACATTTAATAAAAATAGAATCTTAAAAGGGATGTACTTATTTGAGATGCCTGTATATGTGAGACAAAGGTTTATTTCAAGTTTTATCAAGCTCAAAAGTGATTTGCCATTTCAGGTCCATGGCAAATTATGAGTAATGCACCTAAATGCAACCCAGGGGTAAGTCACTCCTTGGGTTTCCTCCCTACATATTTTTGTATCCTTTAGTTTGTTTTTGATTTGATCACTACACACTTGTATATCCTTGGATTTTAAAAGAAGTAGTTCCAGGGATAGTTAATGCACTGGTAGCAATCTTCCAAGAATCCTTCGATCTGAACAAGTCCAAAAAGATTGGAAAACTGTGACTGTAACAATCTTACTCAAAAAGCTGAGAAGATGTTAAGCTGGAGACAGTTCAGAAGAGATTTACCAGAATGTTGCCAAGTATGGAAGGTTGAATTATAAAGAAAGGATGGATAGGCTGGGACTTTTTCACTGGAGCATTGAGAGGAGACCTTATAAAAGTTTATAAAATAGTGAGGGCACAGATAGAGTTAATGGTAGTTGTCTTTTCCATAGGATGGGGGATTTCAAGACTCGGTGCATATTTTTAAGGTGAGAGGAGAGAGATTTAGAAAAGACATGAGGGGCAAATGTTTTACATTGAGAGTGATTTGCTCGTGGAGTGAACTACCTGAGCCAAGTGATGGATGTGGGTACAATCACAACATTTAAAAGACATTTGGATAAGTACATGAGTAGGAAAGGTTTGGAGGGATATGGGCCAGGAGCAGGCAGGTGGGACTAGTTTAGTTTGGGATTATTTTCGCCATGGACTGGTTGGACCAAAGGGGCTGTATCTGTGCTGTACAACTCTATAATTTTATGTTAGAGTCTATTCTAAAGGATTTAATAGAAGAGCATTTCAAAATACACAATATGATCAAGCAGAGTCAGCGTGGATTTATGAAAGGGAAATCATGCCTGACAAATCCATAAGGATTCAAGGGAGTTACAAACAGCATAGATCAAAACAAATGAACAAACAATCAAAGAGCAGGAGTACGCCATTCAGCTCTTTGAGCCTGCTCCACCATTCAACATGATCATGGGTCATCCTCTATCTCAATGACATTTTATTGCTTTCCCTCCAGAGAGAAGGCAAAATTCAAAGAGAACAAAGAATAAAAATAGGGAAATCTTGCTTAAACTATACAAGACATTAGTCAAACCATACCTGGAATATTGCAAGCAGTTTTCATGTGACTATCTAAGGAAAAATATACTGGCATTGGAGGCAGATGGTGGGATTTTCCTGAAAGAAGAGGTTGAGTAGGTTGGGATAGTATTCACTGGAGTTTAGAAGAATTACAGGAGACATTATTGAAACATATTTATTGGGGGCTTGACAGGGTAGATGTGGAAAGTTTGTTTCCCTTTTTGGGAAAGTTTCGGACCAGAGGGCATAATCTCAGAATAAGCAGTCATCCATTTAAGCCAGAGTTGAGAAGGATTTTTTTCTCTGTGGCGAATCAGTGGAATTCTTTATTGGAGAGGGCTGTCAAGGTTGTGTTGCTGAGTACATTCAAGGCTGAGTTAGATGGATTTTTAATCAGTAAGGGAATCAAAGATTATGGATTTAAAACTGGAATGTGAAGTTAAGCATCATCAGATCAGCATAACCTCATTGAATAATAGAGCAGATTCAATAGGCTGAATGGCCTACTTCTGTTTCTGCATCTTATGGTCTAATAGACATACAAATGTCGGGAATTTCAGCACTGGCATATTTTTAAAATTGATTGTTTATGAATTTTGAAAACAATAAATTATTTGATTTTCTGTAAGTAGTTACAAAATCCAACTTTAATAGCATTGTCTAATTCGAGCAGGAATGTTCATTGTACATTGTCTGATGAGTTAATAAATTTGATTCGTCATTATGAAAAAGTGTCTTGAAAAGTACCACAAAAATGAATGAATGTTGTAACATTTAGGCAGTATACATACGTAGTTGAGAAAGTTTCCAATTTTAAGTATTAGCTGACAGAACTGGGGCAGTCTTGAAGAAGATAGGAGATCTATACAAAAACAGAAGACATGGAAAATCACATCTCATGGAACTGTACAACATAACTCTAATTCAGGGCGTTTTTTCTAATAGATCTGTTTGGTCCATGAATCTCTAGATTGAAGATTAATGCTAGTATGAAATAAATTCATTTTGAAAATGAAAACTAAACTGACAAAATAAAATCAAAAGCCAAGCATGGACCTGAATTTGGAGTACAGCAACTGAGGTTAGCAGGAACTGGTATCTTTTACCATTTCAGCTTGGTACGACATGGAGTGTAGGGTCATTGTGGTGATTGGTAAATTAGGTTGATAAAGAGCTCAGATGTCAAAACATTTAAATTTCTGATTCCTGAGAGACAGCTCTATATGTGCATTGATCAAAACAGATGCTAATCTTCCTCCTAAACATTAGAAATTCAAGTTCTGGATTCAACCAAACAAGTATGGCTGGCTAGAGTCTGAATTACAAATTTGTTCTGAGCCCAGTAGATCAATATAAGTGCACATTGTTATGATCCCAGCTGTTGGTACTACTGGACAAGTCAGAACACAGAATAAAACCCGGCTTGATAGATCATATATTTAATTTTTGCTGATGGTTAATGTGGTGGTTAGTCACTAAAACATATTTACATGAGGCCGTGGATGTTCTTTACAACAGAATCTAAGTTTATCACACATAAACGTAACAAAAACAAGCAAAGCTATATAGAAACAGCTAAAAAGATGTTAATTCAAAAATCACAACAAACCTCAGCATCTTTGTCAACACCATCCATAACAGAATCTCAATACTAGAGATGTATCACTATAATCCCAGCAATTTAAGTGTTTATTTACCAGCCCTATCCAATTTCTCCCTTCTTGTACTGTCAATCATGTTTATTATCATTAATTTCAGAGTCTGCCAACAAGTTTGATGGCCCAAGTCTTTCTCAGTTGAAGGTATCTAGCTGAACTCTACTGATTTGAAGCTCCACAGACTAGAAACCCATCTCCACTGAGGAGACTGGCTCCCCTGATCTGAATTGGAAAACACCCTGTTCTCCTTCTCGGAGACAGTTCTCTTCTAAACTGAACTCTGAATTTGCCTGAACTAAAACCTTGAACTTTCTGATATGATCAAATCTATACAAATTGCCTTAATGTGTTAGCTCTGCCTTTGTCATTAACCCAAAAGTATAAGCATTCAATCTATTAATGCCATATGATTCTCTCAGGCACACTGCTCCAATCACATGTTTTCTCAGAACCAATGAATCTAAATTTCTGTTCCAAATTGATTTTCTGACCTTCTAAAGAGATTGCTCCCACAGCACTAACTATATCCATCTGCAAGAAGCCAAGCCTCCACATATGCTTTAAATAGCCTAGGAATACAAAAAAACAGAGACAGGAACTGGGTTTTCTTTAATAAATTCACAGGATGTGGAAGTCACTGGTTAGGCCAACATTTATTGACAATCCCTAATTTCCCAGAGGGCAATTAAGAGTCAACCACATTGTTAGTCACATGCAGGCCAGACCAGGTAAGGGTGGTGGTTTCCTTCCCATATGAAGATTATTGAACCAGCTGGGTTTTTCCAACAGTGGTTTCATGGTCGTCATTAGACTCTCGAATTCCAGATTTTATTAATAATTGAATTCAAATTGCACCATCTGGAACATTACCTGGGTCTCTGGATTGATAGCTTAGTGATAAAGTCACTAGGCATAAAGTCTTCCAAGGTAAATCCTGCTTGAGCCTATGGTCTTTTTATGCAAGCAGCATAGATGAAAGTTGTGCATCAGCACCATCTAAGGTCCTGACATACCTGACTCTACAAGAAGTGCCCAGGAAGTTGAAACTTCTCACGGACAATTTCCCAGAGTCTAGAACTTTCCAAGAAAGTCCCCAGTTCAGAGTCAGTGTTTGCGACTTTGGAGTATTCCGACTCATTTACTCGAATAGTTAGTCAGGTAAAGTTAGTGGAGTTAAGATCTGCTCTCGCTCAATGCTAAACTTAAAACTGATCACCCTCCCCTCCAATGACACTCCTTACTAATCAATGACCACAGACACCTGACCTAATCTGCCCCAGACATAAGCACTGCCCTGACTTGACCACCACCTCTCTCCTGACCACTTCCCCACAGTCCGAGCACCAATCCATGGTCTGACTTCCCCAACCCCTTCCCAAACACTGACTCCCCACCAACCCCCATTCTCAACCTGCCCCAAACCCCTTGGGCACCCATCAAAACCCACCCCAAAGTCTATCCTGATGCAGGAATCCCCTACCTGCACACCTACCTGGCAGTCTAAACAGCCTAACCCCTCACCCACCTGGTACCCTCCCATTCCACAAAACAGTCACACAACCCTCAATTTTACCTTACACACTTACCTTCTCACAGACAGGGTAGCTTAATGATCTTTACTTACAGGAAAATATCTGGATTCATTCAGTGATAACACAGTGTGGAGCTGGATGGACACAGCAGGCCAGGCAGCATCAGAGGAGCAGGAAAGTTGACGTTTCGGGCTGGGACCCTTCTTCAAAAATGGCGGAGGGGAAGTGGAGCTGGGAAATAAATAGAGAGAGGAGGGGTGGGACTGGGGAAGGTAGGTGGGATGGTGATAGCTGAGTGGGGATTAGTCAGTGAGGAGGTAGGAGAGAAGATGGACAGATTGTGTCAGGTAAAGGAGGCGGGGATGAGAGGGAGGGTTGGTCATGGGATGAGGCCGGGGTGGGGAGATTTTGAAACTGGTGAAATCCACATTTAGGCCGTCGGGTTGCAGGCTCCCAAGGCGGAATATGAGGTATTGCTCCTCCAGTTTCCAGGTGGCATTATTGTGACACTGGAGGAGGCCCAGAATGGACATGTCACCCAGAGAGTGGGAGGGGGAGTTAAAATTGTTCATGACCGGAAAGTATTGTCGTTTGTCGTGAACAGAGCACAGATGCTCTACAAAATGGTCTCCGAGTCACCTCTTGGTCTCACCGATGTAAAGGAGGCCACATCAGGAGCAGCAGATACAGTTGACCCAGTTGTGCAGGTGAACCCCTGTTTGGTATGAAAGGTTCATTTTAGGACTTGAATGGAGGTGTAGGGGCAGGTGTAGCACTTCCTGCAGTTGCAGGGAAAGGCGCCGGGTGTGGTGGGGTTAATGTGGAGTGGATGAGGGAGTCAAGGAGAGCGCGGTCCCTACGAAAGGCAGACAGGGGTGGGGAGGGAATTATATCCTTAGTGATGGGGTCGGATTGTAGATGGCAGAGGTGGTGGAGAATGATACGTTGGATGCGAAGGTTGCTGGGGTGATATGTGAAGACAAGGGGGATTCTGTCTTTATTTTTGTTTGAGGGGGAGGGAATGTGAGGGCAAAGGGGCGGGAAATGCAGGAAAGGCATTTTCGATCAGCAGAGGGGGAGTTGAGGTCCTTGAAATAGGAGGATATCTGGTGTGGCACTGGAGGAGGCCCAGGATGGACATGTCACCCTGGGAGTTAAAATGGTTCAGACCAGAAAGTTGTGACGCCACCCGCCCTCGGCCTCATCCCATGGTCAACGCTCCCTCTCATCACCCCCTCCTTGACCTGACACAACCTGTCCATCTTCTCTCCCACCTATCCGCCCATCTCACCTCACTGACCATTCCCCAACACTGCCTGCCTGCACTCACCTATCACCATCCTACCGACCTTCCCCAGACCCACCCCTCCTCTCTCTATTTCTGAGCTCCCTTCCCCCTCCCCATTTCTGAAGGGTCTCAACCCGAAATGTCAACTTTCCTGTTCCTCTGATGCTGCCTGGCTCGCTGTGTTCCTCCAGCTCCACACTGTGTTATCTCTGAGTTATCTCCAGCATTGGCAGTTCTTACTATCTCTGGATTCACTCAGTGCTTTCTTCTTTAAATAATGTCCCTTCGTGAGTACCTTAAACAAATGGCTAACAGAAATGGACTTATCTCTTCGCACAACTTCCTTAAATGTCTCTCCCACAGCCTGCTGGTCCTGGAGCTTTTCCTTCCTGATAATAAACTACTCAGGATTTCTTCTCAGCCTGAACTGTTTTGGAGATTGTTCCTTTGTTACCATAGACCTTTCTCGTCTAACAGGAACCTGCTCCCTGTCCTGACCTTCTGGATGCTTCGAGAGGTCCCTTTCACAACCTGCAGAATTCATTCACTGAAAAGGATTCCACTCCAAAGGTCAAACCATATGTGACTTAAGGTCTTAAGCTCTTAAGGTCTTCAGTCAGCTTACCAAATTTGAGCAGTGAAGCATTTCATGATATGCAACACCTTAAGAGGAATTGTAAGAAATATCCTTTTGACCATCATTAATAACCCTTCAATATTTCAGATACATGCTCTGCTAAGTTACCCTGAAATGTTTGAACATTCTGTAGGGCAGCATTGAACCTGTAAGAGACAGTGCCTTGAGCAGCTTTTCCCCCATGCCAATGCACAATGTGTGAGAGTGGAAATGTGACCTGACTATTCTACATCTCCTAGCCTTGAATGCCAATGCTGTCCCTTGAAAAGCTGGAAGATAGAATGAACCTTTCCCTGCAGAGATGTATGCAATCATCACTGATTCTGTGCCATCACTCACAAGGTGGATATCTGTGTGGCTAGCACAATCCCTGCACTCTGTGTTTAGCTTCAGTATCGTCCCCATTAAAGTGCAATTAATGTCACAGTTCAGGGATCCCTGACATCTGATGCTATCTGCATTCGAACAGTTGATTGCTTGTGAGAAAGGAATAATGCTTGCCCATTACAACTTGTGTATTCTGGTGCATGAGTCACATGAAGTTGGTATGCAGGGACAAGACATAATCAAGAAGACTAATAGGATACTGTCTTCTATTATAAGAGTAATTTGAACATATTATGCTTTACATATACAGGGCATTGCTGAGACCACATCTTGAATACCACATACTGTCTTGGTTTCTTTATTGAAGGAAGGTTGTAAATGCATTGGTGGTAATTCAGAGGAGGTTTCCTAGATTGATAAGTGGATGAATGGCTTGATTTATGAGGATAGGTCAGACAGGCTGGGCTTACAGGGTTTGTGGAGGTGGGGTGTGGTTGACGAGCCTGATGTCTGTCACCTCCCCCCACTAACATTGGCTATGTTGTGGGACAGAATTCCCTGCAATGTGGTAAAGGAGGAATTAGGTATGGTGGAAGCGAATGGAAGAGCAGTTAGTCATGATTTTGTAAAACAAATCATTTGTGGGACAAGAGTTTCATTGGCTGTGGTCAGCATTGCCTGTCCCTAGTTGCCCTTGAGAAGGTGGTAGAGAGCTGTCTAATTGAATTGTTGCAGTGCATGTGCTGTAAATAGACCCCCAATGTAATTAGGGAGGCTCTTCCAGGATTTCGACCCAGTGACACAGAAAAAACAGTAATGTTTCCATAAGAAAGCAGGAGAGGTGGTAAGTTGTGCCCAGTGAGTGAATGGGAATCTCAGAGGTCAGGAAAAATCATTAATAGTTTGAGAGATTGAAGTGCTTGAGAGACTTGAGTTGTATTAATGCATGCAATGGTGCAAGTTGAATTATGAACCTTGATGAGAGACATGTGCAATAACAGGTTTAGAGTGATTGATCACCCTGTGAGTCTGAGGCAGCAGAGAGAAGATAGCGGCAATTACCCTTTTGGAGTGCCGAAGATCACTGACTCGATTCCTGCATTACTGGGCTTCTTGCCATACTCATGACACAGCCCTTAATGCAGGTTGACTGTCCTGGATGCCTTGGACTGGTAGTATGGCCCCCTGTGGTTGTCCACAGAATAAAGGATGGCCATCTTGTGCACCATCCTGTTCACCAGCATTTCCCTTCACCTATCCCTCTTCTTCGCCACCATTAATGACCATTCCTTCATCTATCTCAACCCATGATCTGGAATTCTCTCCCTGAACCCCTACTGCATCTCCATCTCTCTCTTTCTTCATTTAAAACACACATACTCCTGATATGCTTTTTAGTGAGTTTAAACCTCTGTGAGGCAGTTTACTTATGGTGCTAGATAAATGTAAGATGTGTGATAAACTGCATATTTAGCTCAGTCAGAAAACTATACATAAGTAACATGCCTTATCCTAATTTCATTACTTTCGTAACAGAGAATGTTTGATAATTTTAGCAATAGATTCAAATCAACCATTTTCTTTACAGACTGGTCTATATTAGGTGTTACATTGTTTTAACTATTATCTGATCATAATTTATTTAACAGCTTTGTAAACCAGGAACAAATATTTTAAGAAATGCAAATATATTTATGGCTTAAGCAGACACATAAAACTCACTTTCACACGCCTTCTTAATCAGTTTTGCATTTGGTTGGTGAACATTTTGTAGAACTATTATGTCTTCACATGAAAGTAAACAGTCAATCCGTAACTCATAGCTGTAGATGTGATAACAAAAGAAAATGATATTAAATAGTTCTTAACAACTTCTTTGTCATTTCTTTTGGGTACGATAAAGAAAGTATCTACAATTGCTATGCAGGAGATTTTTGCACCATACAAAAATCTAACATTGCTGCATGTTGCTGGGGATGTGAAGCAGAGTGGAAGCGAAGAGCGGGCAGAACATTTGATGCTCCAGTGAACACTGTGATTGTCTCATATAGTAGGAAATGTTTCAGATTTTCCACACCAAGAGTTCTTTGCTACTGAGAGAAATCAAACGATTCTCCACAATTTTGATGACCAACACAAATTCTGGAATGGCCAAATTCTGAAAAAAGTTGGCTTTCTGTTCTGACATACAGCAATGACGTACAGCAGTGAAAATTGAAGGAATGTGGCGGAAAGAAACTAACAAAGGTCAGGATTGAACAACACCCATTTTGTAAAGGAAAATGAAGAACTCACCGTTTGGCAAATTGTATCGATCTGGAACTGTCAAACACACAAGTTTTACAGCATTCCTCTCAGAATGGTAGAGGATCTGAGTTTCAGCCTGTACATCTGCACATGGCAAATTTCATGTTGCTGAATCAGATACACAGAAAGCTGAGCACAGAGCCCAGATAAAGAGGGAATGTTGAGGGCACGTCATTTCAAATATTGAAATTAATGCACTGTTTACTGCTAGCTCAAGTTCACAGTCTGAACAAAAATTACCATTTTGCTCATTGGTGGTGCCTCCCTCCAAATCTAAAGAGAAAAGTAAATATCAAATGGACAGAAGGGAGGTGATAGAGTGACTTTATTTCCAATTTTTTATGGAAAAAAGTTCTTGGGACCGCTATATCATTCATATTTATAACATAAAATACATACCAGGGCACTTCGAGAAGGCAAAGGTAGAAATGATCTCCATTTGCTAATTTTTCTTTTTCTTCTTTGTAAGTGATTATATTTTCTCTCTGGACATAGCAAATTAAAATGTTACAACAAAGAACTATAACAAGCAAAATAAAGTATCAAAACTGCTCTCATTCTTGCTAATGTATAGAACAAAGAACAGTGCTTACTTCATGTTCATCTGGCAGGAGTTTCTTAAATTGTTTCAAAACTTCCGTATCAAATTCAGATTTGCTACCCTTTTGGACCATGGCTGCTAGTTCTTCATTCGAGCTGCAAATATGTTAAAATAAAATTACAGGATTAATTAAACTGTGATCAATGTGGTGTTCGCTATATGCAATGCCTGGAAACAGGTAGAAAAAAGCAAATCAAAAAGTAACAAGCAAGCTAAATTCAGTTATTCTATTTATTAATTATAAATGAGTCAGCAGTAAACATGTAACAATGACCACATAATGCACGTTGTTACATGTTTACTGCTGGCCCATTTCACAAATAATTTTTTGCTGACATATAAACTCACTTGCCACCCTATAGCTGTAGCAATATACAACTGAAAGCTTGGTATAGTTACACCTTCAAAGATTTTCATACTTTTAAATATCTTGGTACAATGGAGATCCATGATTAACTACCAATTATTGAGACACAGATTGGGCTGAAGGTTTGTGTCATCTTTCACCTTACAGCATGTGAAGACATCTGCGCAAGTTGTAAAACAAGTCAAGACCTAAAAGAAGACAGCTGGTCCAAAAAGGAGCAGAATATAAGGCAAAGCCACAGTGAATTCATCCTGTCTGTAAGATGGATAGAAGAAGGACACTTTCCAATCTATGACTGAACATTATTCTTCTTATCTTCCTTCTCATTTACTCACATGCACACAACAAAAATATCTATGGCCCTGTAACACATTCTGCTGCAAGCTGTGTCAAGATGGCACACTTAGCTCACTTAGTCTTAACACTATGGTTCGATTCCTAGTTTAGAGATTTAAACAGACAGATCTGTTGGAGCTGCTGAATTTCTGTCACTATATGAAGAAAAATGAGAGAATTCTAATTTTCTAGTCAACATAGATCAAATGGAGGGAGGAATTTAGGAAACTCACAATCACCAGTGAAACAATATTGAGTAATTTGTTGGAGCAGCAGATTGACAAGTAACTGTGTCCTGATGGACTTCATCCTAAAGTTTAACAAGAGAGTTAGCTACTGAGATAGTCGATGCATTGTTTTTAATTTTCCAAACTCCTTTGATTGAGGATGGTTGTCTCTGCCAGACACAGAAAGTAGCTTCTAAATTGAAAAGAAAGGGAGCAGAAAGCGGGACAGTACATGTCAGTTAGCTTAATATCTGTCACAAGGGAAATGTTAAGAGGCTATTATTTAAAGAAGTTATAACAGTGCACTTGAATGGGTTCAAGGCAATTAGGCAGAATCAACATGGTTTGATGAAAGGGAAATCATGTTTACCCAATCTATTGGAGTACTTTAAGGAGGTAACACGTGCTATGGTTAAAGGGTATTGGTGGATCCTCTGCGCTTAGATCTCCATATCAAATGATAGTGCAGAAAATAAAAGCTCATCGTTTAGAGTAGCATAATAGGCACTGGTTACACCATATCTGGAGTACTGTGCACATATTGGTAACATTATTTTTTGAAAGAAGTAAATGCATTGAAGGCAGTTCAGATCAAGTTTACTTGACTAATTCCTGGAATGAGAGGATTGTTTAATAAGGAAGGTTTGAACAGGGTAGGTTTGCATTTACTGGATATTAGAGGAGGAAGAAGTAACTTCATTGAAATATATAGGATCCTGAGGGCTCTTGACACTGTTGATATGGGTACAATGTTTTGTATTATGACAGAATCAACACCGAGGGGTCACAGATTAAAAATTAGGGGTCACCCATTTACCATATAAATTAGGTGAAATTTTTTCACCTGAATTTTTTTAAGATTGAGAGTCTTTGGAACTGACTTCCTGAAATGGTGATGGGAGCAGATTCCTTGCATATTTTTAAAGCCAAGATATATATATTCATGTTAAGTAAAAGGGGGTGAAAGGTTATCAGGAGTAGGAAGGAATGTGGCTTTGAGTTTGCAATCAGATCAGCCACGATCTTATTGAATGGGAGAGTGTATCAGATGGCTGAATGGCCTATTCCTGCTCATAATTTGTATTTGTATATTTTTGTATGTTCATATGCTTGATTCATTTTGAAACTTCTTCCCCCATTCAATAAGATCATGGTTAAACTTTGATTTTGGTTAAGGCTCCTCACACTATCCACCATCTCCTCATTTCCTTAGTCGCCAAAAATCAACTGATCCCTGATTTGAATATACACAACAACTAAACTTCCACATCTCTCTGTGGTTGTGAATTCCAAAACTTCATAACCGCTGAAGTGAAAAACGTTTCTCTTCATCAGAGTTGTTAATATTTGACCCAATATTCTGAGTCTGTGAGCCCTAGTTATGGAGTCCTCAACAGTTTGAGGAGATTGTAGAGATAGCATAATAGCAAGGATACCCCATAGCTTGGGAAATGCAAGAGACATCAGCCCACTTTAGTTTCTGGTGGTAGGAAAGGAGATTAAATAATCATGTTAGCCAAAGTAATCTAATTCAGTTACCTAACATACTGGGACAAAATAAAGTACTCTGAATTATGGAGATTTGATATTTAAAAAGTCTGAAAATACTCAGGTGGTCAGGCAGCATCTGTGGAGAGAGGAACAATAACATTTTGGTTTGAGGATCCTTCATCAGATGTTTTTCTTTAGATTTGTTTCTTGCTTTCCTCTGGCAAACCTTATGATATGATGCTCTTCCAGAGATATTTGCACCATCTGGCATTCCCCAGCACCAGATTCAGCAATGCCCTCTTGTAGGAAGACACTGTTTATGAGATTGTTATGTTTTAAAAGCATCCAGAATGGAGAAATGAAGAAGGTCATATGATATGAATTCTGCCCAACAACAGATCAGCTGGCCATTTTTGCCTGTGTTATTGCAACTAATGCCCTCACTCCAACATGAACAGGAGAGCCCAATCACCCAGATCAGTTTAAATATAGTTGCTAACTAATATCTACTGGCTTTGTCTGAGATAACAGAAGCCCTGTGAGTTTTTATTACTGCTATATAAGGTGAGTGAATTTGACAGCATTTGGTGTTGCAAATGAGGAAGATCTTGGTCCTGCTTGCCAAGGTTCCAACAGACTACGTGCTCCTCTGATCTGTTGTAAAGTTACCATTGCCGTTGTCCTGCAACATGAGTATCCTCACCAACCATTTCATTTTTACAGGATCATCCCATAATTTCACCGATTATCCTGTGCCCTATATGCTTTCTCCCAAGGAGGGCATTTATAACTTTAAGACTCTTGCAGCTTCTTGTGCACCTTGGTATTTTACGCAGTTATATTATGTGTCTGCTATCGACCACAAGGTGGTATAGAGTTGCCAGATACAGCTAAAATGGAACTTCGAAACTTTAATCTTTGAATCCAATAATAAAGAATACAAATGGAAGGGAGCTGTAACCATATCGCTGAAGTTACCATGCAACATGATATTAAAAAAAAAATCTCTTCAAAAAAGAGTGTAAATGTCAGAGCACCTGTGCTGGCATAGTCAGAAAGTTAACGAGAACAAGTTGTTCTTTGATTGATGTAACTGTTCAGTTTTAAAAGAGAAATTGTATTTTGATGGGAAGAGGGTAGTTTGGATGAGCAGTGGGGTAAGAAAGGAAAATGCTGGAAGGATTGTTCCTGATGATATGTATTTATATAATGGATCTAGAAAAGACTGCTCCAAGAGAGTATTGTATAGGCAAACCCATCTGTTTTACATTAGTACTTTAAAATACTTATAGGACTGTTTGAATAGATACTAATATGTGCAAAATGAAAGCTATCTTTCTCTTGTCCCAGGAGAAGATCCCACAGGACGTGGATGGAGGAGAGAACATCCAAACCAGCTTTGGGGGTTTGATTCCCTTCAAAGGATCAGGCTCTCCCTCTGTCTCACAAATGAAGCAGCATTTTAATGGTGATGTATCCAATGGACTGTCAAATTACATGATTTCAAATGGATCAATGCAGTATAAGTTGTGAACAATTTTGAACAGAATGAAATGCACTAACCTCAAGTCCTTTCAACAATATGACTCTTCCCTCAAAGTTACTTAAAATTACAGAATGGTAACAGAACAGAAGGAATTATTTTCCTGTCATGTCTGAAGGGGCAATTCACCTACACTGATTCCTTCACCTTCTCCCCAAAGCCCTGCTATTCCTAATTATATGATAAATTCCATCTTGAATGCCTTCAGTGTGTTAGTACTGTTACTTAACTTTCATTATTTTAGTTGTATTCTTTTATCAGTTTATGTTTGGTACCCAAAATCCTTGAATTGTGAACATTTATGTGGTTGAAAACCAGAGCCATTAACTCACATAAGCCAATAACATAAAAGGAGAAAAATTCAAAGTAAACCTGTCATCTGTATTGTAAAAATAAAAGAACTGAAAATATATAACCACAATGTATAAAAGTAACAATGGCCTAGATTTTCTGACTACTTTTGGAACAGATTCAACCAATGGTAATCCTTTTTAAAATTAGCCACTTGTTTTCTGGTGATTTTTCTGGCCACATTCCAAGTCTGACTGTCCTGAATGTGTCCATCAGAAGAAACCAAGGAGAAAGCCACACGGTGGACATTGGAGGCCAAGACATACTCATTGTTCCAGCACTTGCTCTTTTAGTTCAGGAGTTCTCTTGTTTAAAGGTCCGAAAGCCACTTTGGCGGAAAGGTAAATGAGTCAAGTTAGTGTGGGTTTAGGGTGGGTTGGGTGCCGGGTTAGGGTGCCAGGTGGATGAGGGAGTAGAGTAAGAGGTGGGGGAGGGTGCCACACAAGGTCAGAGGGGATGAGTTGTGGGGAGTAGATTGTATTTTGGCGGGGGGGTGGGGGGTGTCGGCGGTGAGGTCTATTACAGAAGGTATAGCGCTGCTGGATTTGATCAGGATTGTGAGATCGGGGGAGTGTGATGGGTCCGTGCAGGGTGGGCAGGGTCAGATCAGGGAGTGCAAGTGTCAAGGCTGCTAGGCAGGGCACTGAAGCCTGAGGTTGGCGACTTCGGAGCTGGGAGGTCAGGTCAGACTGTGTGGGTATTGGATCTGAGGGAATGGGCAAGGTGGTGGGATCTGGCAGGTTAAGCTGGGAGTGTTTAATTGTCAGGTTAGGCAGAGGTAGTTCAGGGAGGGGGAGTTGGTGAATCCACTGGAATCAAGGACAGTCCGGTTGCAGAGTGAGATTTTTGTTCTGTCAGGGTCGGGTTTGGCGAGGGAGTGAGGAGATCATGTCCAAGTCTGGCAGTGCGGAGTAGGGTCTGTGCTGAGGAAAGAGATGTTGGATCCAGCAGGGTTGGGTGGGTTGAGTGGCAGTGGGGGAGAGAGGGGGTGTGTTTGGATGGTATGGTTGGATTTGGTGGGTCAGGATGTGAAGTAGTGGTGGTGTGTCATGTCCAGTGGAGTCAGGTCAGGTCAAGTCTTGGTGGAGGCAGGGTATCTGATCAGAGAATGCCAGAGTTAAGGGGTTGCAATTAGAGTGGTCAGCGGTCAGTTGGAAATTCATTTTAATAGTTACCCAGGAGTTAGGGTAGGTTTTTTCTGGGTAAGAGTTAAGCTTAACTGAGTTTGAACCCTCTAAAATCTCCAAAAAATGAGGGTTTTTTTGAGAGGCTTCCAGACCGAGAGGAATTACTTATCAGAAAATTCAGTTTTCTGTGCAGTTCTCTCAAAGTCAGCTGCATCTGGGCTTCTGCATAGTCTTGGCATAAAACTGGGAACTACTGTGTAGAAATAACTACTGGATCATCAGAATGTCTGGGCCAATTATGCAGTATGACTCACCACTTGAACTGTTTTAAAAATATGTTCAAATTCAGGCTTTTCTTAGAGTCCAGAAATGTGACCTGAAAGAAAGGCAAAGACAAATTTTAGAGAAGAGGTAGGGGTCCCAAAATTCTTTGCTTAACATTCCTTTTTCTCATTTGGAAACAGTTTTTAATATAAATCTTGCCACGTGTTTATACATTTACTATACTGTGTTCATTCTGGTGCACAAATTGTTCCAATAACTCATTTTACTCACATTCTAAAATGACCGTGTTATATACAGTTTCATTTAGCATAAACAATCATTACATGTAGAAAGAAAGATCTGACAATTATGCAGTACCATTGACATCCTCAGGACATCCCCAAGCACTTCAAAAATTGCTTTTGAATTGTGAACAATTTTTATGTAGGCAAGTGACCAGTGTGTTTTCTGTAAAGCTTCTGCAAATAACCACATTGTCTGTTTGGTGGCACCAGTAGAGCAATAAATGACCAAAAGTTACACTAGGAGAGGTCTTTATCTTGGTGCATAGTGCTCCAGGCTCTTTGATTCCTATCTGAGAAGGCAGACAGGGCTCTCACCTGACACTTAGTCCAACAAACACATTTGTAGAGTCATTCATCATAGAAACAGACCATTCGGTTCAAACAATCCATGCTGACCATGTTCCCAAATGAAACTAGTCCCAGCTGCCTGTGCTACTTCATATCTCTCCAAACATTTCTTAGTCATGTACCTATCTAAATGTCTTTTAAATGTTACTGTACCTGCATACACCATATCCTCTGGAAGTTCACTCCACACATTCATCACTCTCTGTGTAAAAAAATTGTCCCTCATGTCTTTTTTAAATCTTTCTCCTCTCACCTTTAAAACAAGCCCCGCAGACTTGAAATCCCCCACCCTGGGGAAAAGACAGCTTATCTATGCCCCTAATGATTTTATAAACCACTGTAAGGTCACCCCTCAGCCTCCCACGGACCAGTGAAAAATGTTCTGGCCTATCCAGCCTCTCCTTGTAACTCAAACCCTCCATTCCTGGCAACATAGAAAAGATAGAATCCCTATAGTGTGGAAACAGGCCCTTTGGCTCAACCAATCCACACTGAACCTCAGAGCATCCCAACCAGACCCACCCTGCTATAACCCACACATCCCTGAACACTATGGGCAATTTTAGTGTGGCCAATCCACCTAGCATGCACATCTTTGGACTGTGGGAGGAAACCAGAGCACCTGGAGGAAACCCATGCAGACACAGGGAGAATGTGCAAACTCCACACAGACAGTCACCCGAGGGTGGAATTGAACCTGGGTCCCTAGGGTTGTGAGGCAGTAGTGCTAACCACTGAGCCACTGTGCTACCCCTACCAGGATTTACATCCTGGTAAATCTCATCTCAAGCTTAATAATTACTTCTACAGTACTGCACTAAAGTAGTAACTGGGATTATGTGTTTGTCTTTAGCATAAGGCTTGTACCTATAATTAAGGAATAAAGACTGCTACCACTGAGCCAAGGTTGATACTTAAGAACTTAAAACAATACACCAAGGTAAAAAAGATATTCTTACTTTCATAAATAATTTGGCGTTTTTGTATAACCTAACAAAACAGTCAAATTGAATGATTACCTTATACTTCCCATAAAACAATGTGTTAGTCTGTGTTTACCTCCTTTGACTCTTTTTTGAAGAGGGCTTGATCTTTCCTTTTTGTTTGAGAGAAGGAGAAGCAGAAAAGCTGTTCGATTCTGGCATAATCAGGACTTATGGAATTATTACGGCCAAGTAACCATAAAGAATTCCTTTCTGAAATAAGAGAAAGATTTTAAATTTTATATGAATTACTACACATTGGAAAGTCCCCCCAACAAGGGATTGAGGAGCTTACTCAAGTAGCAAAATTCCATAGCACTTTTTCAGCAGTAAGTGCTGCATTCTGTTGTTTAAAGGGTCCTGCAGCCACTTTGGAAGTTACTGAGAGATGTTAAATGTGTAAAGTGTGAGCTAGAGTAGCGTGTGGATAGTGAAAAACAGAAAATACAAAAAAATTGGAGCAGGGGTAATCCATCATTCCTGCTCTGTCATTAAAAGTGAGCATAGTTGTTTGTCTATCTCAATGCTATTCTCCCATCTCTCCCAAAACCCTTGTCACCTTTAGTGTCAATAACATTTGTTTAACTTCTTTACTGGAGTTATATGAATTTATAAGAACAATGATGTAGACAAACATAAACAACAGTATTTCATCTGATACAGCACCCATGCTAATAAATTGATTGATTCTGGCTTTTTACTAAATCGACTCATGGGACGTGAGCATTGTTGGCTGGCCAGCCTTTATTGCCTGTCCCTAGTTACCCTTGAGAGGTGGTGGGAGCTGCCTTCTTGAACTGCTGCAGCCCATGTACTGTAGGTAGACCCTTAATGGGTGGAGTCCCAGGATTTTGACCCAGTGACAATGAAGTAACAGTGATACATTTCCAAGTCAGGATGGTCAGTGGTATGAATGGGAACTTGCAGGTGGTGTTCCCATATCTGTTGCATTTGTCCTTCTATGGCCGTGGTAATGTGTGTGGAACGTGAGTCTAAGGACAGTTTAAATGTTAGCTGTCCCCAAGCGCATCGTAAAACGCACTCTCTCATTGTAAAGATACATATCATCCTCCTCCTCTGATGCAGTCTGGCCTGCTGTGTTCCTTCAGCTCCACATTGTGTTATCACACACATACCTGAAGCTACTTTTGAGAGTTTTTGCCAACTCAGCTTTTTCATCCGCAAGAATGGTCTTGGAATATCTGTCTTATCTGAAGAGGTAGGAAGAGCTCCAGGTGGTGCTGGGGGAGGAGGTGGTGGAGGTGGAGGAGGAGGGGGAGGGGGAAGGAGAGGGGGAGGAGTGGGAGTTGGTGCAGGTGGGGTAGTGATAGAGTAAGTACACTTCAGACTTCCTTCAGTTGAATATTTAGGTTCAGGACAATCATGATTTTCAGGCTTGCTAACAATCAATTCTCGCTCCACAGTCTGATCGTTTCTTTTCAGTTTAACTGAGACAAGTCTTTTCATGATTGTATTGACATCAGTTTCTGGACCTGTGCAAAGTAAAACATTTGATGTGTTAACACTTCAACATATTTCTAAAGTTGTAAAACTGCTTAAATTATAAACTGAGGAAGGAATAAATTTTCAACCTCAATTCAACTTGCTAAAGGTATCACATTTACAATGAATCTCAAAATATAAACACTGAACTAGTAAAATTGAACAATGAACACAACGCGATTTTTTTCCAGAAGACCATAAGCAATTATTTGCATTTATTACAATTTGAACTACCTTTATAATGTAGGCATTTTATCAGACAATATTTCCTTACTGTCATGAGCAATTAGGATGGCTCTATTCACCAATATTTCTAGGACTTCCCAGAGCAGAGCACCGCTCTCGTTAGATGGTTCCAGCTGCAAGAGACCCTGGAGAATTGATAGAAGCTGAATAGAAGCTGGGGAGGTGTGCACCTAGAATTGAAGGCAAAGGTGAAAATGGATCTACTGAACGTCAATGTACATGAAACATTTAGGAAATACAGAGATTGTAAAAACTGTATTTTCCGTTTCAGTTCAAATTATTTTTCTCCCTCTTTGGTTGTTTAACCTTTTCATCCATGATGCTGTTTACTCATCCACAAAGTAGTAAATCATTTGAGAAAGGAAAGCTTTTAGTCTAAAAGATTTCTCAGGCATTACTCAAAGCAGATTTGGAGCTACTGCGAAAGTACATTATTCTACATTTTATTGTGCAAGAGAGAAAGTGGGAATAACTGGTTATGCCCCATATATCCAATTACAATAAAGTTAGATTTGCTAAAGTCTGTCATGAATAATTCTCACAATCAAAAGGGTCAATCGAGGCTAATGTCAATAATTAACAACATCAGAACTCTCCAAGAAACAAAAGGGAAAATCTGAAAAGACTGTTATTAAGAATTACTATGCATAAAACCATAAAGTACTGGAACAGAATTAGGCCATTCAGCTGATCACATCTGCTCTGCCATTCAGTCATAGCTGATATGTTTCTCAACCCCATTCTCCTAATTTCTCCCTGCAACCCTTGATCCCCTTACTAATAAAAAACCTAACTATCTCTGTCGTAAATACCCTCAATGACTTGGCCTTCACAGCCTTTTGCAACAACGAGTTCCACAGATTCAACATACTCTGGCTGAAGAAATTCCTCCTCATCTCAGTTTGAAAGGGTCCTTCTTTCACTTTGAGTCTGTGCTCTCAGGTCCTAGTCTCTCCTACTAGTGGAAACATCTACTCCACGACCACTCTATTCAGGCCTCTCAGTATTTTGCTGGTTTCAATGAGATTCCCACTTTATCCTTCTAAACTACATCGAGTACAGATTGAGAGTCCTTAACTACTCCTCCTATGTCAAGCCCTTCATTCCTGGGATCATTCATGTGCACTCCCTCTGAACCTCCTGTAATGCCAGCAGATCCTTCCTTAGATAGAAAGCCCAAAACTGCTTACAATATTCCAAATGTGGTCTGACAAGGGCTTTATACAGCCTCAGCAGTCCACCTCTCCTCTTGCATATTAGCCCTCTTGAAAGGAATGCTAATATTGCGCTTGCCTTCCTAACTACCAACTGAACCTCTATGTTAATCTTATGGGTATCCTGAAGTAGAAGTCCTATACCCTTTTGTGCTTCAGATTTCCAAAGCCTTACTCCATTTATAAAATAGTTTGCTCCTCTATTCTTCCTGCCAAAGTGCACACTTTCCCACATTGTATTCCATCTGCCACTTTTTTGCCCACTCTCCAAGCCTGTCCATATCCTTCTCCAGCATCCCCAGTTCCTCAAAACTACCTGTCCCTCCACCTACCTTTGTGAGATCTGCAAACTAAGCAAAAATGCCTTCAGTTCCTTCATCCAGATCATTAATGTATAATATTGATGTATAATCATTGTGGTTCCAACACAGACCTCTGTGGACCTCCACTAGTCACCAGCTGCCATCTTGAAAAAGACCCTTATATCTCCACTCTCTACCTTCTGCCAGTTAGCCAATTGTCTATCCATGCCAATACCTTGCCCTAACACTACTGGCTGTTGTTTTATTTCGCAGCCTCCTGTGTGGTACCTTCTCAAATGCCTTCTGGAAATCCAAACAGATCCTGTCCACTGGCCCTCCTTTGTCTAACTCGCCCATTACCTCCTCAAAGGATTCTAGTAGATTTGTCAGGCACGACCCCCTCTTGACAAAGGTGTGCTAACTCAGTCCTATTTTACCATGCGCTTCCAAATACTTCACAATCTCATCCTTAAGATATCAAAGATTAATAAGTTGCATAAATTGAAGGTCTTATATACCAGCACTTGACCAACATACAATTATTATCTATTTCTAACCTCTAAGGTAGTTTAATGCAGCTACTTCTGAGTTGTAATTCTTCCATAATTTTGTATATAAATGTTGCAACTATGCATAATCAGTCAGCTGTCTTACTTTACAGTGCCAGAAAGGTTGTTTAACACATATTAACACTTACTACATTTTTAAAGGGTAGTTAGTCTGAAATGGACAAGATTAATTGCCTTCGAACCTTGTTTGTATCAAACGTACAAGACAGCAATGTCATGCCATTTGTGAGGTGAACAGTGAGTTGTCAGTTTTGCATAAATGAAGGAGGAGCAGTGCATCTTGAACAGCAGCTTTTGGACTTCTGTGTTTAACTGCACATTGGCTCCTGTTTGAATTGTTGCAGCATTTGAACAGAAACAGGAGTGAGCAAAATTAGCTCAGTTATTTTAACAGCAAATTACAGCACATATTAATTTAAGAACTAGTACACAAAGATCCATTGATAATATAAAGAACAAATGATGATTCTTACAATTATATTTAGTGTACAGTTTCTAGGGCAATGTAATAGTTTATGATCTTACTTTATTAAACAATGCTGCAAAAACATCTTGATGGCAGTTCATATCATAGATTCTTGTTAAATCTTCATCGTCTTCTGCCCTGGCTTCCTCAAATTTGGAACACTGGATTAATACATCTACATCATCTTTTTTTCTGAAACAAATAATACAAACAATATAATAAAATTTCAAAATGACAGGCTACTTTTTCTAATTTTATCTCTGTAGTGGTGAATCTGTGTCGCTGTCGTATGTTAGAAGCTAGGCATTTGCAAGAGAAATTTTTCTGACAGTTAAATTCAATTGTCAGTAAGACCATTGAGGCACAAGCCCCAAATCTTGACTTTCTCATGGGAAACGCTCCAACCCTTCATGTCTAGATTTTAAAATTGAAACGTAAATTTTCCTCTCCTTTTCTCATGAAAGTGCAGATTCAAGTTTATCGCAATATGACCCTTAGAATTCAGCCTAATATTTTCAGACTCAAATTTCTCACCCTCAAACAGAAATTCTATCATGTTATGATCACATTTATCACATTCTAGCAATCTAATGGAGTTTTCATTCATATACATCATTCATGGAAAAATCCCTTTTATTCATGAAATCCAGTCAAAGGTTTCATATTCCCTTAAGTGGTCAATCTGTTATAAAACAAACAAACATCTACTCAGTCTTCACCTCAAAGAAGCCAAGCCTTTAATACTCTCTTAAAATTGTCAATCAAATTGTCGTCACACACTTGACTGACATAGGAAGTTTTCAAGCTTTGCAAACTCAACCAAGCATGTTTAACGGGTTTTTCTGTAGAAACAGCTTTTGGGAATGTTATACTGAAGTCTATTGACACTGCAGGAACAGATAGTATTTGTTTTCTAGACTGCAACTGGTGGCCTGTCAATTAAAGTATTGCAGTAACATATTTTTACGCTAACTGAGAACTGGATCCTTCCTTTTTTCAACTTTTAAAGAGCTGGGGATTGAAATAACTTTAGATCATAATACTTAAAGAGATCTTTTATGCTCTTCAAGAACACGTACGATTCCACTATAAAGTAGTGACTATATTGAAAGTAAGGACTCTTGGATCAGCAAAAATTGAGTCTAATTTCAATGGCCTCATGCATTTGACTTTCCCACTTGTGTGATTTATGCTTCAGCCTTTCTCCTACTGACAAAAAGAAAGGAATGTATCAGAAATGGGGTTTGAAATTCCACATCTAAGTGCTCCCAAGGTATTTTTAAAGGACTTTGTAGTTGGCCTGTCTGTGGAAATCTGATTCTTGTGCTCATTTGTTGCTATTAGGTATATTTTGGATTTGATTTCAAATTCATCAAACTTGAGTGCTGAAAGGCCATTTAATATTTGGAAACAGCCATATATTTTATTTCTTATGGAAACTGCAAGAATGGTTTACTACTACTCCCTTGTTTTGAGATGTTTTTGCTGTAAACTAGAATTTGAAATATCAGCAGCTTTAGAAAATAGTTGTTTGAATGTAGTAATTGGAAGAATCTTTTACTTATGACACAGTTTATACAGATTTCAGCAAAGTATTTGACAAGGCTGATAAAGAAGATAAAAGCACAAGGGTCCAGGATAAGCCTGGCGCTTGGATCTAAAACTGGCCAAGTGGCAGTAGACAAAGGGTGGTGGTAGAAAGCTGTTCATTTGACTAGAGGTTGGTGTCTAGTCGTGTACCACAGGGATCAGTGCTGGGTCCCTTATTGTTTGTAATATATGTAAATGACATGAAAGAAAATGTAGAGGGATGATAAATAAGTTTATGAATGATACAAAGATTGGCCAGGTAGTTGACAGTGAGGACAGAAGTGTTAGGTTAGAGTAGGATATAAATGGATTTGTCAGATGGGCAATCAGTGGCAGGTGGAAGTTAACCCAGATAAGTGTGAGGTGATGCACTTTGGAAGATGTAGCAATACAGGAAGTACTCAATGAATGGCAGGACACTGGGAAGTTCAGTGGAACAGAGGGATCTTGGGGTACTTCTGCACAGATTCCAAAAGATGGTAGTCAGGTTAATAGGATAGTTAAGAAGGCATTTGGGACACTTATAATTATGAGTTGTGTCATAGATAATAAAAGCAGGGAGATTATGTTGAGCTGTACAGGATACAGCTGGAGTACTGCATGCTTTCTGGCCACCACATTTTAGGAAGGATGCAGTTGCATTGGAAGACACGTAGAGGAGATTCAACAGGATGTTTCCAGGAGTGGAGAGGTATGACTATGAAGAGAGTCTGTATAAGCTAAGGTTAAATTCTTCAGACCAGAGAGGGCTGAGATGGGGCCTGAGTGAGGTGCATAAGATTATGTGGGGCATGGACAGGGTGGATAGAAAGCAGCTATTCCCCTCAGGTGAAGGATCAATAACAAGTTTTAAGTTGAATGACAAAAGGTTTAGAGGTTTTGAGGAATTTCTTTTCACACAGAGTGTAGTGAGAATCTGGAATATGCTGCCTGAGAGAGTCTTTGAGGCAGGAAATCTGACAACCTTTAAAAAAAAGACTCTGATGGGCATTTGAAATGTCAAAATGTTCAAGGCAATGGGACAAGAGCTGGAAAGTGGGACCAGTGTAGATTTAGAGTAGTTTTGTTGGTGCAGACTTAATGCACCAAAGGCCTCTTCTGTCCTGTATGAGTCTATTATTTGATGACTTTGACGGTGAAATGACATCCTCTTTCTAATAGGATGAAATTACAACTACTTTATCTTTGCTGAAGATACTGACCAGTTGATTAAAGCGCAGGACATGCATATCCCTGCAAAACTGAAGGGTAGGAATGGCAAGATCCAGGAACCATGGATGACACGGGAAATTGTAAACTTAGTCAAAAGGAAAAAGGAAGCATATGATAGGTGTAGGCAGCTAAAAACTGACAGACCCCTTGAGGAGTATAGAGAAATTAGGAAGGAACTTAAACGCAGAATTAGGAAGGCTAAAAGGAGCCATGAAATGTCTTTAGGAAACAGGGTCAAGGAGAATCCCAAGACTTTTTATGCATATATTAGAAGAAAAAGAGTAACAAGGGAAAGAGTAGGCCTCCTCAAGGGCAAAGGAGGTAAATTATGCGTGGAGTCACAGGAAGTGGGAGAGATCCTGAATGAGTACTTTGTATCAATATTCACTGAGGAGAAGGCATGATTGATGTTGAGGTCTAGAGAATGGCAATATATTAAAGGAGGAAGTTTTGGGTATCCTAAATTGCGTTAAGGTAGACAGGTCCCCTTGGCCAGATGGGATCTATCCCAGGTTACTGTGAGAGGCAAGGGAAGAAATAGCCAGGGCATTCGCAGATATCTTTACATCCTCTTTAAACACAGGCGAGGTTTCAGAGGACTGGAGATTAGCCAATGTGTTTCCCTTGTTTAAGAGAGGAAGCAGGGATAATCCAGGAAATTGTAGGTCAGTGAGTCTGACATCTGTGGTGGGGAAGCTCTTGGAGAAGATACTGAGGGACAAGATATATGCACATTTGGAAGAAAATGGGCTAGTTAGCAACAGGCAGCATTGTTTTGTACAGGGAAGGTCATATCTCACCAACCTGATTGAATGTTTTGAAGAGGTGACAAAGATAATTGATGAGGGAAGAGCTGTGGATGTAGTTTATATGGACTTTACTAAGGCATTTGATAAAGTCCCACATAGCAGACTGACACAAAAACTAAAATCACATGGGATTTGGGTGGGCTGGCTAGATGGATTTAAAACCGGCTTTATCATAGAAGACAGGGGGTAGCGGTGGAAGGGTGTTTTTCAGAATGGAGACTAGTAACTAGTGGTGTTCCACAGGGACCAGTCTTGGGTCCTCTATTGTTTGTGGTATATGTAAATGATCTGGAGGAAAATGTGGGTGGTCTGATTAGTAAATTTGCAGATGACATGAAGATTGGTGGAGTTGCTGATGATTGTGAAAGAATACAACAGGATATAGATAGATTGGCAACTTGGGCACAGAAGTGGCAGATGGAGATTAATCCAGACAAATGCAAGGTGATGCATTTTGGAGGATCAAACTTAGGTGTGAATTATACTGTTAATGGTAGAACCCTTAGGAACACTAACATTCAGACAGATCTGGGTGTGCAGGACCATAGTTCCCGAAAAGTGACAACACAGGTAGCCAAAGTGATTAAGAAGGCATATGGCATGCTTTCCTTTATCGCCCGGGGCATGGAGTATAAGAGTTGGCAAAACATGTTGCAGCTACATAAAACCCTTTTTCGGCCGCATTTGGAGTATTGTGTGCAGTTTTGGTTGCCACATTACCAAAACGACGTGGAAGCTTTGGAGGGAGTGCAGAGAAGGTTCTCCAGGATGTTGCCCGGTCTCGGGGGCATTGCCTGTGAGGAAAGGTTAAAAAGACTAGGATTGCTTTCACTGGAAAGACGGCGGCTGAGAGGAAACCTGATAGAGGTCTACAAAATTATGGGAGGCAGAGATAGGGTGGATAGTCAGAGACCTTTTCCCAGGGTTGAAGTTTCGATTACAAGGGGGCACAGGTTCAAGTTGAGAAGGCAAAAGTTTAAGACAGATGTGCCAGGAAAGTTTTTCATGCAGAGAGTGGTAGGAGCCTGGAATGCACTGTCAGAAGATGGAGTGGAAGCAGGCACGTTGGCAATATTTAACAGGTATCTGGATGGCTACATGAATAGACAGGGAATAGAGGGATGCAGACCAAATAAGGCAGAAGGTTTGCTTTTTAGGGCATGATGATTGTCTTGGCGGGCTGAAGGGCCTGTTCCTGTGCCATACTTCTCCTTTGTTCTTTTGAAAAATCCTACCTTTAATTAGAATTAAATATTCGATGTTTTCCTGTCTGTGAATCTCAAGGTGCAATTTATACACAAGTCACAACCGTTATTTCTAGGTAGATGCTTCCTACAAATGTTGCGTGTATAACTTAAATACTGACTAAAGCAATATACTAGACTGTATTTTTCAAGCAGAGGCTTTCAGTATTGTAGCCATAGTCCTTACCTGAGATTTGGCAGTGCATCCAGCAAATGAAGACCTACAATCGAAAGAGATAATTCTTGTCAAATGTTTCAAAATACAATAGCATCATTCATTTCATTCCTTTGTGCTCAAGGACCAATTCATTTGGCCAAATTATGCTTTTGAATTACTCTTGACGTGTTATTTTCACAAAACAACGTTATGGTTGGTTTTGGAACATTATAGTGATATTTATTTGATTATATGCTGCTCAAAGAACATCTTGTCTGTTAATGTCACATATCTAACATTTAAATGTGCACTTCCCATCATTGTTAACCATTCATATTATTGCTGCAATAGGCACTACCATAGAGTCATAGAGACGTACAGCATGAAAATAGACCTTTCGATCCAACTCATCCACGCCAACCAGACATCCCAATCTGACCTAGCCCCATTTGCCAGCATTTAGCCCATATCCCTCTAAACCCTTCCTATTCATATACCTATCCAGGTGCCTTTTAAATATTGTAATTGTACCCGCCTCCACCACACCCTCTGGCATCTCGGTTCCTACACACACTACCCTGTGTGAAAAAGTTACCTCTTACTCCTTTTTAAATCTTTCCCCCCTCACCTTAAACTTATGCCCTCTAATGTTGGACTCCCCACCCTAGGAAAAAGATCTTGGCTATTCATCCTATCCATGCCCCTCGTGATTTTGTAAATCTCTATAAGACCACTCCTCAGCCTCTGACACCATAGGCAAAAAATCCTCGGCCTATTCAACCTCTCCCTGTCGCTTAAACTCTCCATTCCTGGCAACATCCTTGTAAATCTTTTCTGCAACCCTCCCAAGTTTAACAACAGCGTTCTTTTCGAAGGGCAACCAGAATTGTATAGAGTATTCCAAAAGTGGCTTCACCAATGTCCTGTAAAGCCCCAATATGATGTTCCAACTCCTACACTCAATGTTATGACCAATGAAGGTAAGTGTGCCAAACACCTTCTTCATCTCCCTGTCTACCTATGACTCCACTTTCACGGAATTATGCACCTGCACCCCTAGGTCTCTTTGTTTGGTAACACTCTCCAGGGCCCTGTGTAAGTCTTGCCCTGAGTAGTCTTTTGCATTGCATCAATGAATAAAGGAAGATATCATGACAATCTGCATCCAATACAAATATTACTTCAAATTATATAAAATAAACTATATAATATGGGTAATGTAAGACAAACAACACAAAATATAAAGAAATATTACCAATGAATTGATTTCTGAGCCTTGCCCGTTTTTGCAAGTTTTCAGTTCCCAGAATAAGAGCATTGATCACACTCAGGAGTGATACCAGATAAGGAACATTATCTGTTTGGAGTTCACTCATAATGACATTCAATCCATATTGATACCTCTGTGCATTCTGTCAAAAGGAAACAAATAATAAACTGTTTATTCTGCTTATGTATATTTGTGTTTTACATAGAACATAGAACAAGCCCTTCAGCCCACCATGTCTAAGCTGACCATGATGCTATTCTAAACTAATCCCATCTGCTTGCACATGGTCCATATCCTGCTATTCTCTGCCTGTTCATGTGTCTCTCTAAATGCCCCTTAAACTTTGCTATTGTATCTGCTTCTACCACTTCTCCTGGCAGCGTGTTCCAGGCACCTACTGCCCTCTCCTTTAAACGTTTCCCCTCTAATATTAAACCTATGACCCCTAGCATTTGCTATTTCCACCCTGGTAAAGAAACTCTGACTATCCACTTTATTCATGCCTCCTCATAATTTTATGTACTGTTATCATGTTGCCCCTCAGTGTTCGATCCTCTAGTAAAAACAATTCCAGTTTGTCCAAGAGATGGCAGGAACTGCAGATGCTGGAATCAGAGATTCAGTGACAGGGGTCCAGTGAGCATCAAGGCCAGGAATGTTGACGTTTCGGGTCGGGATCTTTTTCAGAAAATTTTGATGCTCTGATGCTGCCTTGTTCCTTCAGCTCCACAATGTGTTATCAAGTTTGTCCAAACTCTTGTTGTAGCTAATATACTCCAATCCAAGCAACATCCTGGTAAATCTCTTCTGCACCCTCTCTAAAGCCTCTACATCCTTCCTATAGTGCGGCAACTAGAACTGTGCACAGCACTGCAAATGTGGCCTAACTAAAGTTTTACACAGCTGCAGCTTGGCTTGACAACTTTTATACTCAATTCCCCGACCAATGAAGACAAGCATGCTGTATGCCTTCTTTAGCACCAAATCCACTTGTATTGCCACTTTCAGGGAGCTATGAACTTGGACTCCTAGATCTCTCTGTATATCAATGCTCTTTCAGGATCTGGCCATTTATAATATACTTTTCTCCTGTATTTGACCTCAAAATGCATTGCCTCACACTTGTTTGGATTAAACTCCATCTGCCATTTTTCAGTCCAACAGTTGATTGAAATGATATTTTAAGCATTACAATGCTAACACACTTGCTATTTATAGAATGTATGGGATTCCATATAATTATGAATTTTCAAAGCAGTTTTGTTGGAAAATGTTTTGGTCATCAAAGGAAATTTCTTTTGACATTAATCAAAAAAATTTTTTTTGGTACCATGCTATAATTTAATGAGAATTAAAACATTTTTCATCAATGAATCAGTCATTAAAGATTGTAATATTGGCGCTACAGATCCATGTCTCTAACTTACAATTTCTCTTTTATTGGAGAACGAAGAAAGAACATTGAATGGGAGAATAACAATAGATGGAATTAGAGATGGGTGCAAAGAAGTGGAAAAAGTTCAGAGAGGACCTCCTAATGGGAAGACATAAGTTGAAGTGATTGAATTATAGAGAAAAGAGTTGGACAGGTAAACAGACAGCAATGACAATATGAGAAACAAGTAAAAAACTCAGTGTTAGATAAATAAAAGAAGGACATAAAGTCCAAGGATAGGGTGTTGTAAGGCTTTAGAGACATTTGAAGTTGAGGATAAGGCTATTAAATTGATAAATGGGAGCAAATTAAGCCTTGGAGGAATGCATTGATGGAAGTGTGGGGTTTTAAGTAGGTAAGGATTCAATTATTGGCATTCTGAATGAACTGAAATTTTTGAATGTTGGAGGCGCACCTGAAAAGCAGAAAAGAAATCAAATCATATGACTACAAAAGCACAGATTAGATACTTGCATTTGTGATGGATAATTGAGAAAATGTTTCTGAGCTGTAACAAAGATAGTTTTGGTCATGAAGCTAGTGCAGGGAAGCTCTGCCAATAATCAATCCATCATTGACTTGAGCTACCAGACCTAGATGGAATTCTGAGGGAACAGATGCATTACAGTGAGAGAGATAGTAGGAACTGCCGATGCTGGAGAATCTGAGATAACAAGGTGTAGAGCTGGATGAACACAGCAGGCCAAGCAGCTTCAGAGGAGCAGGAAAGCTGACGTTTTGGATCTGGACCCTTCTTCAGAAAAAAAAAGAGAGGCAAGATGAAGTCACCGTGGTCTTGCCAGATCATAGGGCTCCTCTCTCATTAAACAGAGATGACTGGTGATGGTTTAATCTGAGGATCAGCATGCCTCAGGTCAGGGGAAATGTTGACAAGAAAAATCTTTCATGGCAACCTCAGCTGGTGTGGGAATTGAACGCACACTGTTGGTGTCGCTTTGCATTGCAAACCAGCTATCCAGCAACTCACCCCATAGCTGATGAAGGAAACTGCAAAGGGTAATTCTGTATGAAGAAATTTCAATGTGCCCCATTATATTAGGTAGTGGGAGAATAAAATGAAGGCATGGAATTGAAAGAGTTTAGTGACATCGGCATACATTTAAAAGTTGACTTCACTGTTTCTGACTGGTCTTGGCGAGAGGCACCACAAGAATAATGAAGGAAGAGTGTCCCAAGAATGGAGTTCTAGGCTACAAAGTTATTCAAAATATGATAAACCACTGAAATAATATAAAAAAATTACTGTGGATGCTGGAAATCTGAAATAAAACTTTTATATGAAAGTGATTAGAATTAAACGGGAGTCTAATCAATGTAAGAACAAGTTAAGTCAGGCAGCAGATTGTGTTGGTGGAGAGGGATTGGTTGGACTTCTGTTCAACCTTGTAGGAGATGGAGGTTTATAAAGCTTATACGTCGATGGTGAAAAGATGTTTAGGGCCAGGAAACTGTTAAAGTGAAGAGGGTGTATGTGGGTGGGAAAAGACTGGAAAAAGCAAGAAAAATAGAATTGATATAGAATATAATGGGTTCTGTGGAGTGATAGCACAGACTGAAATTATAGATCTTTCAGGACAAGTATGTTTAGGGAAGGACTAGCAGTGGGCTGTATGGAATTGGGATCTATAAGATTGGAGACAAGAGAGGGAAAATCACTGGAGGACGGAAGGCCACTCAGTGTTTTGGAAACAATTCTTAGCGTGGGATCATGGCCCAGGAAGAAGTAGGAGGTGTCAGAGTTGGTTTTCTGCATCTGCAAGGCATTTGTCAGATTGTCAAAGTCCAACAGTTCAGGTTTATTGACCATGTTAGAGTTAGACCTGAGAGAATGGTGCCTTTCCTGTTGAGAGGGCGACAGGTTAGACTGAATGAATGGAATGGAAAAATTGGGGAATTTAATGTCACGCCAGCAGTTCCCACTATAGAGATGTTAAGGGTTAAGAGGCTGGAGAAAAGGGTCCAGGTGGAAAAAACATTCGGATGACAAACTTCTGGCTGGAGAAGAGGGTGGGGAGCCACAGGCAATGGAAGAAAAGTTAAACAGTGTATAAAGCTTAGAGAATGCAGAGGATATTGCTGAGTCATGATCATGGAAAGCATGATTTTACAATGTAGAGAGGCAGGCAAGTTTAGTCTGAATGGAATGATAATTACACATGGAACAGGTGCTGGAGTAGCTGAATTATAATGTACTTGGGATAACAAAAATGAAGCAAATTAAAGCTGTGTGTGACAGTAATTTACAACAATGGGAATTAGGAACAGGGTAGTCAATAAAAAAATCTAATTAAAAATTGGCTAGAAAGTTCAAAAGAGCATAACAAATACAAATAGATCAGAGTTGACACAGTATCCAGCCAGTTGATTCTGAAAGTACAGTTCCAACAAGTAAATATCTGTAGCTGATTAAAAGATACAGGGAACAATTCTTTATCAGGAATGGATTTGATTGTGATAATATTTCATGCTGTTATCATTCAGGTCACTCAGCAATTAAATATTCAGATCCATTCTTGATTTTTCACATGTTGAAATCTGCCAAAGGAAGATTTCTTGGAACAGGGTATAATCTAAAACATTTTTCTGTTGGCAAGATCAAAAGACTGAAATTGTCAAGAGCTTTCAGTCTGACAATATAATGAAGTCACTAGCTGTAATGTTCCACTTAATGTACCAGAGAGCTTGAATTAATTTGTAGAGATATTAATCATATCAGCCAACAGGGAAGACAACAGACACTGATTGGAGTGAACAATAGAATTAGTTAGGTGATTAAATGGAGAATATAATTTCCAGATGGGATTTTCAGTCACAAATTTTGCCTTCTTTTGCTGAACTGCTTTGATTAGCTGTCAGTTTTAAGCAGCACTTTAGTTTAATGAGTATTTCTGGTTATCATCAGTACACATTAGAATTGTTATTTTGTGTACTTAGCAGAACACTGTTGTAGTTTATATTTCCTGTGATACTAATCCATGTGAATGGCAATCAGTGGCAAGGATATTAAATTGTGCTGCAATCATGTCTTATTTATTGTATTATATTAACAGTGCAGTAACTTTTTTTCTGCCATCTGTAACACTCCTCTGTGTGACAAACAATTTTTACAGGTAGTTTGTATCTTTTCATATATGCTACATAGAGACATTGAATCTTTTAACCGAGAATATTTGAGTTTCTATAATGGTAAGAAGTCAAGATTTTCTGCTTCGTGTAGCTTAAACCTGAATGTCCAGTGATAGATTTTAGATAAGCCTGAACAAGTATACATTTGACCTTGCTGTCTTTAGGCGTACCTGCCCACTATTGGATCATTGACAGCATTGATTTTACAAGGAACAGCAGACAATTTTCATATTTTTGAAAGACTAGCTTCTAGAATTGCATGACAGATATAGCTCTCAAACATTTAGGATTAAAAATGTGACCTATCTATATTTTCATCATTGTTAAAAGTAAATATAGTTCATGACTTTACCATCTGCATCCTGTCTCACTCTTGGTAATATGAGATATATCAAATATTTTACTGACGTTGACAGCTCTGCAGTCACAAGGGCTGAGTTCCTTTGGCCGTTTAACCAGACTTCCACTTTAACTCCATTTAGAGACTGGAAGCCCTTCCTGTTGTGGAAGTTGAGAGTTTTTTTATAGACCTCATGAAACTGCATCTCAGAGCTTGGGAAAGTCAGTAAATTCATAAAGCTGGAGAGCGGCTGCCTGGCTGTGATATCAAATTGTGATGAATTCCCCAGCTCTCTTGTAAAGTACAGCAGTCAGTTGATAAATTACACAAACTCCTATGGCTGCAAAAAGCACCACAAAACTGTGTGTAGTTATCATAATCATTGGTACAGAGACAGCAGTGCAGATAATTGTGACTGAGGGTTTTCACACAGACTCCCCTACTGAATCTTTAGTGAAGTACTAATGCATAGTTCTACAACAAGGTCCTCTTGTAACCTGTAATGCCTCCATATTTCATTGGGTTTGCTCTCCTTAAATGCTGTCTAACACCGCTCCACCTCAGACTTTGTCATTAATCTCTTCTCCATAATTATAGAAAGGCATATGCCCATTGAGAATATCATATCTGTTCGTTGGTAACCATTACCATCAGTGAGGACTTGGGAGATTGTAAAACTTGCCGTGATCTCATGCTGTCAATGCCCTGTCTCTATCTGAAGAACGGCAAAAAAATTGCCGTGGAGAAAATATGGTTTTCAGCTGCAAAAGTTGAAACTCTCCGCATTCTTCATCAAACCACAGAATAATTAGAGCACAAATGAGGGCATTCGGCCCATTGAGTTAGTGTCAGCTCACTGAAAGATCAATTTATCCAGTTCTACTCACCCATCTTCTCTCCATTGCACTGTAATTCTTTCCTTTTCAGATAGTTATCCAATTCCCTTTTGAAAGCCATGTTTGAATTAGTCACAATGTGAAAATGATCTTCCTCACGTAGCCTTTTTTTTGTTGCCAATCCACTTGAATTTGTGCCTCTGCCTCTTGACCTTTATACCAATGAGAAAAGTTATTTCTCCCTATCTAATTTGTCCAGGACCGGATTTTGAATACCTCCTGTCAGTATTCTGTTCTCCCAGAACCGGCCCAGCTTCTCTAATCTATCCTCTCCTCCATTGAACCTTTTCATGAATCTTTGTTGTACCCTCTCCATTGCTGTCACATCCTTCCTAATGCCTAGAATTGGACACCACTCTCCAAATGAGGCAGAGCTAATGTTTTATAACGGTTTGTCATAACTTCCTCGCCTTTGTACTCTGCTCCTTTTGGTAAAGTCCAGGATCCTGAATGCTTCGTTAACCAGGTTCACTTCCTCTGGCAAGAGTTACACTTTATAATTCTCATTTGAACTTACCCAAAGTACCTGCCAGCATAAATTCAGGAGACCCAGACTGTACCACAGTGACCTACTGCACAACATATGAATGAGACAATCAGCACTTGGCTGGCATATTGTGAGTCTAACCAAAAAGAAGCAGGTAATCTACTTTTAAAAAACCGGAAAGAACTGAGGATGCTGTAAATCAGGAACAAAAACAAAGTTGCTGGAAATGCTCAGTAGGGCTGGCAGCATCTGTGAAGCAGAAAACAGAGTTAATGTTTCAGGTCTGGTTCTGAGGAAGGGTCACTGGACCCGAAACGTTAACTCTGTTTTTTCCTTCACAGATGCTGCCAGACCTGCTGAGCCTTTCCAGCAACTTTGATTTTGTGCAGGTAATCTACTTGTTTGGGTGGCAATCCATTATGTGGCAATGTCCGTTTTTGCTTGCTAACAAATTGCTTAGTTAATAACTATACATTGAAATTACACTGAAGTTAGTGTAATGTTAAACCTGTTATTTTCATTATCAATAAATTGGTGTCTGTCCTTTGAGAAAATGATATTTCATTTTACAAGGTATTTAGCATTGCAAGTATTCCATAATAGTCAACACTATGAAAATAAAGACCAGAGATTTGCTCAGTCCAACACTGCAGGATGCTATTTTAGGAATCTACATCAAAACGAGCTGTTTGTCAATTCTGAAATATCCTGACACAATGCACTGAAAAGTAAGCAAAGTTGGCAACCTTTCCCATGTAAGAGCAAATTGCTTGGAACGGCAAATGTCAGAAAATGAAACTCTGATTTTATTTCATTTCAATAACTGTGCCGGAGGTTCAGCGGTGACCTCATAGAAGTCTATAAAATCATGAAGGTATAGATAAGGTGAATGGCAGGTGTCTTTTCCCTCGGGTGGAGGATTTCAAGTCTAGAGGGCATATTTTTAAGGTGAGAGGAGAAAGATTTAAAAAAGACATGAGGAGCCATTTTTTTTTCACAGAGAGGGTGGTTTGTGTGTGGAATGAATTTCCAGAGGAAATGGTGGATGTGGGCACAGTTACAATGTTTAAAAGACATTTAGATAAGAATAAGAAATGTTTGGAGGGATATGGGCCAAGCACAGGAAGGTGGGATTAGTTTAGTCTGGGATAATGGTTGGCATGGACTGGATGGACTAGGGTCTGTTGCTGTGCTGTATGACTCTATGACTCTGAGTGCAGACCCTTGAAAATCTCCTCTTTCAATGCATAGTGATGTTATATTCCCTGTCGTAAAATCCTTACCTTGTAGTGTTGTAGTGCATATAAAACCCGATCATGACCTTCTGGGGAGTACATGCAGAGTGCTGCCAGCAAATCAAATACTTGTTTCTTCACCAGGATCACAGATGTATTCAGAGCTGCAAGTAAGCGGAATTTATTTGTAACGTGTCAGAATTTACACAAGTGCAATTACTTGAGAAGATAAAAGTACCAGGATAAATATTGCAGCAGTTGCACTAGAAATCAACACAAATCATATTCTTCTTTGTAAAAAGGTATCCTCCAATAAATTCTGTACATGACATATTATACATACAGATTTGTAAGAATGTGTTAAGCCGGATGCATGCTTTCTGGATACTATCCTGCATTTCAACTTATTTTATTATTAATTTCTCTGCTGATAAATATCGTCAATCATAATAAAGACCAAGTGAAAGTATGTATTATATAAAGAACATTTGTCCCATCAATTCCACACCACAGATAACCTTAATTGTTTTAAATCAGTTGTGAATGAATGGTGTTTGGATATGTCCACCGTCTTTTAGCGAGCATTCAAGCAGAGTCTTAGGAGGGAAGTTTGCCAAATTGCAGGTAGGGAAACTGTTGACAGCTGGAATGGGTTTTGCAGGAACTCTCTAACTGAGTCATGGCTTTAGCAGCCAGCCTCGATTGGTTAGGGCAGTTGAGTGGGATTATGCATCTATTCTGAGAAATGAAGCACTTCTAATTAAAGGGTGTATGACATGGGTTTGAATGGCTCATCAGCTCTTGAATTTTTGAGGCTGCAGTAACCACAGAAATGCAAGGAAGATGTGGAAAGGTTGATTGTTGCATCTCTAATTCTTATCTGGTATTCCTGCTGTGGAATCTGAGAGCTGCAGTGAGCTAAGGGATGGAAGGAAATGGACAATGTCTACAATCAAACGGATATGGATGCCAGGGACCAGGAATGGCAGCGAAAATGGCATCCCTCCAAACTGGAAACAATGTACCCAAGAGATCCAGTAAATCAGGAGGGAATGACAGCAAGCAGAGTTGGGGAGAGGGAGGGTATGAGTTGGGGATATCTATTCCACACAAGGATTCTCCTGCACAGCATTTCTCAGTTGTATGTAGCTTCACTCATTACTCACTCTCAATGAAGCTAGCATTCCCACCTAAGCAGCGAAACTTTACACTTCCCTTCATCTATTGCCCTCTTGCACCCATGCCTTACAAACACCTTACACAAATCCCACCTCTGCACAAGCACCATTTTCAACTCTCGCACCTCTCTGCCTTCTCTCCTTGCAGTTAATAAAAGCACACAAAGTTGGAAGAGGCAGATCACTTGGGGGAGGTGGGTGATTGGTTGGGGGGGGGTTGGATTTACAGAGAAACTGATGTCAACAGTGATCTGTTGTGATAGCCTCAGCTTCTTGAGATACTGCTGCTTAGACGCATTGTGGTCTAAACGCCTTCCAGCCAGATCTCAGTGTTCATCCCATCTACCCTGTGTAGTGGTATGCTGCTGAAGGGAAGGCAGCTGGTATTACTGCTGGTGCTCTCCTGCTGTTGATGGTTTGACTGGTGTTGTTGGTGATTGTGTTGTTGTTGGTGATGCTCCTCAACTTGTCTCTCATTGTGAAATAATCATGCAGCTGCATGTAAACTGGCCCATCCCATGGTAAAGGGCTGGCAACAGAGGAGTGCAACTAAAGGCATGAAGTACTGAACAGTTAAAGTGCCTTCCAAGAAGGTGACAATCTCCTGATAAATAGTGATAGCACAGACTGGGAGAAAATGTGCTTTGAACAGTAATTTCTCAATGGCTATGATTAGAGAGCTCCTCAGTGTAAGTGGTCAAAGCCTTCACTGTTTGTTAGTTTCACTGAGAAACACTCCTCCTACTGTGTTTTCACCTTGGGCATCTTGCTGAAATGTCAGGAAATGGGTATTCTAGCTGTGAAAAACAAAAACAAAGATTTTACATATCTTCACTGATTTCCTGACAGATCCAAGGTGGTTCCTGGCTCACCTTTAAATCTGTCTCAGTAAATAAAAGCTGAAAGAACCGTGGATGCTGTAAATAAGGAACAAGAACAGAATTTGCTGGTAAAGCTCAGCAGGTCTGGCAGCATCTGCGAAGAGAAATTAGAGTTAACGTTGAGGGTCCAGTGACCTTTCCTTAGAACATTCTAAGACCCACAACATTAACTCTGATTTCTCTTCACAGATGCTACCAGACCTGCTGGGCTTTTCAAGTAAATTCAGTTCTTGTTCCTGTCCCAGTAAAGTCTGGAAAAGGGCATGATCGTGTTGGGATCCAGAACACCCATCACTTATAGGCAACTTAACTGCGTGCCCTTACTGAGAAAGTTTTACCCTTACAGACATTGAGAGCATGGTCACAAGGGTCAGGGACATACATGAACAGGTAAGAAACAGTGTGCACCCTGAATCAATCAAAGTGGAGAATCCTTCCTGAGGCACATGCAGTCTGAAGCAGGAAGTGTAAATTAGAATATTTAATCCAGCATAAAATCATGTACACAAAGCAAAATAGAGAGGCGGAATGATGAAGGGATTAAGAGAGATTGATGAAACTGACAGAAACAATAACTTAAAAAAAGATACATTTTGTTTTGGATTTGATGCTTACCCCACGACTTGATATCAAGGACATGGTACTTTCATAACCAAGTCACACAGATTGAATATCAATTTGTGAAGCAGTCCAACACATGCCAATGGTATGAGATTTCTGGTTAACTGTGTGATGGAAATAATGTTGGAGCCTCAACCATCACTGTCCGTTGCTCCAGATTGCAATGTGCATGCAGAATGCATGTTGCCACAGTAACTTGGACTGCCTGAGTGAACTGTAACACACCGACATCACAGACTTGGTTTAATAGTGGCTGAATGCAGTCAATCTAACAGTTGGCAGTGATGTGAATGGACTGCCTAAGGTTTGAATTGGATTGTTTAATCTGCATTTTTATTGGGAGAGCCACCACATTAGGACTGCGGGATGAAGAATTGTATTCCAAAGTGTTATTGCTAACCATACCTTGTAGTAGTTTTCTAATCTGGTTTTCATCATTCGCAAGATGCTCAATTCCATTTGGAGAATTCATCACAGCTTTTACACAGCTCACACAGGTGAGTTGTAGAAGGGCATCATCAATCTTAGGCACTCCTCTGCTTGACAACTTATATAAGGCTTTCAGCATCAGGTCGAGGCCACTGAGTTCTAGAAATTCTACCATCCACATGTTACTACAATTTGTCAGGTACTTCTTCAGGAGATAGTAGTTTCTAAGATTAAGGTCCTGCAGCAAATGGATGCAGACTTTGGGATCTTCACATTCAAAGTCATCTTCTGGATTACTTGTAACTGCTTTTCTCTTCCCTCTAGGAAGTGCTTGCTTCAATAAAATCCATTTCTGCCGTGCATCTATTTTACCAGCCATACCTTCCTGTGCAAACAAGTAAAACATATCATTATTAGTTCATTGCAACGCAGCATTACGTTACATTTATGTATTATGCTGGATGAGGAACTGCTTGAAATTTCATATGTAGCAGGTATTATGAATGAATCTGTATGTGGCTCGGCTATTAGTACTACTGTTAATGATACTGCAGGAAAAATTACTGTTTACCAACTTTATTAAATATTTAATTAAGAGCATTACTGGAATCATTCATGGGTTTAGAAAGAAACAAAGATATTCACAGGTGTTGGAATATATGCCAAATCCATGGGCTGAGGCCAATTTGGTTAGGTTAATGACTGCAAGTGTGAGGCTGATTCCCTTTCCATCAACGTGGATAAGTGCAGTGTAAAATATTTAAATTTGGAAAACTCCACATACTGTTGTAAAATTTGGACATCAAAATACATTCTTTAAAATGTCTCCTTCGAATTAAGGTAAAATTGAGATTTCTGGAAGCACACCAATTCTGTTTGCCTGGGAGGAAGAAACTCAAACATAAACTGATTGAAATAACACATGAGAGTTTTTAAACCTTTACACAGTAACTCATGGAATAAGGACGGTAGCTTTCTTTGACACAGAGATAGACAAAGCTGCTTGTGCATAACCTGGACAACAAGGTGCAGGGCTGGATGAACACAGCAGGCCAAGCAGCATCATAGGAGCAGGAAGGCTGACGTTTCGGGCCTAGACCCTTCATCAG